TATTCATGTTTGTGATATGGCTGAATGATATCTTTCAGTACCACTTGTAATTAATCCAAACAAAAATATTTCTAGTATTCCCTAGTAAACTATCCTGTAAACCTATGGACACAAGGTCCCAGGTTATACTTCGGATGATGCAATGTGAAATATTGCACTATTAGGTCTTACTGTCTACTTTTAGAAACATGTAGTGGAAATGTGTAAGATATCTATTGTTATTGGGAAAGCAACACATTCTCTGTAGAAACAAATCATCAGACAGGGAAGATGAGTGGAAGAAAAAGGAATGAAAATTATTGCAGAAATGAGCATTTGTGCAGGAATTCATGAGTTTCTCTGAATGTGTATGAATACTTACTGTATTTATTTTAAGATATAATTGACACTTTCAGAAATTGGTGACGTATGCATCTCTCATCTTGTAAATTGCGTTTTGTATACTAAAAACATTAGTCATTAACCAGAATGAGTTATTCTGCAGTTACTATTCTCACTTGGCCACATTTAAGGAGCAGTCTATGCTGTCTATTAAATTTATGAAAGGTTACCTCAATGCTTTCAGATATTCTGAGGGTACCATTTATACTAAGAAAACCCACGAATCTCCGAAGTCTGAAAAATCTGTGTATTTTTGTTTGGGGTTTGGGGATTTATTTTTTTTTTTTTTAATGGGGACTAGAGTTTGGGGATATAGTATTGCAATCTGTAAAGATTTTCTGTTACAGGAGAAAAAAGGCTTTTTACTAACCTGCTAAATTGAAACACATGGATTTCTAGAAGGTTATTTTATCTTCCTCACTAACCATGGACTTTTATTGCCTGTTTAAATATTCATGGCATAATTTTATTGTGAATGCCTTGGGTTTTTTAAAAGTTGAGCATACAAAACAAATATAGATGGGGCTATTCTTGCTTTTTCTGTTCCACTGAATAAAAAGTATGCAAGCTCTTATGAATTAACTCTTGATTCCATGCAGTGGAAGAGTTTCCCATGACTTCTGCATGTGTGAGGTTCCATTACTAATTTCCAGACTAGAAAGCATTAGTAATGGTAATTAGAAAGTATTAGCAGTTTTAGAGGTTCAGTCTTTATGGAAGCTCCTGTTTTATATCTTGAATACTTCCTCTGTCCTTATTGCAAGCACAGCTCTGATACTCTTAAAATGCAATAGTGAGTATGTTCCCTTAAAGAGACTGCATTACCAACAAGGTCATCATCAATTGCATCGTTAAAGAAGAGAGGTGAGAGAAAGATAATGGAGAAGCACCATTTGGAACTGGCAGGGATTAGAACTGAGGAGTGCCACTTCCCAGGGGTAAATGCATAGGATTCTTATTATTACATTTACTACCACTATTATTACTACTACTACCAGTACTACTACTACTGCAATCACTACCACTACAATTACCATTACCAGTACTATTGTTTTTGTGAGGTTGCCCTACTCAATCAAGCTGTTGGTATCTCTTAAGAGACTTTAAAATGAGGATGGATTATGTTGTTGTCCAACTTGTACCTCTAGATTCTCAGAAGAAAACTTGATACCAAATGTTTTGAACTGTGTTCAAAAGTTCATTGCCTCATCACAATCTTTAAGCATGATCCACTTCCTTCCTTTTTCATGCTACTTCCCAGAATCTGATTAAATGCTCATCTGAGGTTTATAGAGGAAACGGGATGTTATAGCCTGCAATACATATATAGTAGAATTTGAGATGGACATATGATAATTTGTGTCTTTTTTCTACACTTTATTCCTGTGAGGAAGCTACACAAAAATTCTTCTCCTGAAAGATTGGTCCAAGGATGCTGTTATGAAAGATATTCTTGTTTCAAACGTTCTGTTGAAGAATATTTGGGTGCCCAAATACCAGAAATTTCCTCACCTTTTACAGCTCTCAACAGTTATAGCTATGATGAAGATAGACATTCTCCTGGAACTAGACACTACTTATCCTACAGAGTAAGTACTACTACAGAAAAAATTCAGATTAGGAAAGTGGTAGAATTTCTCATTAAATCCTGACATATTAGGGGGAAAAAAAAAAAAAGGTGCTGTGTGCCAAATGCCTCATACAAACTGTATGTGTGAGAAGTTTGGCCCACACCAGTCAGTGGTCTCAACCTGCGTACCATGGTTTCCCTGGGGGACAGCTACCTGGCGTGCTCCCTGCCGATGCCGTACCACATGCAGGTAGCGCAGTGGCCCGCAGCCGGCTCACGGGACCCGCAGTCTGAACGCTCGGACGCACAGCTCAAACCTCTGCAGTGCCCCTGAGGGCCAGCGAAGCATGCAGAGCCAGAAGCAGCTTTTGCAATTTTGTTTTGAAGGTGCAGCATGCAGTCCTTGCATCCCTGACCTCTGACTGTGAATCAGTGTGCAGCTGGGGAGAGTGGAATTCAAACCAGCCTTGATAAGACACCCACTACGCAGTCTGGTTTGGCTCAGACCTGCTGTGCTTGGGAGGACTGGGTTGCAAGAATTCAAGCTGGCTCCTGCCCAGCTGCGCCAGGGTAGAAGAGTCCTGCTGTGCTGTCTCCACTCTCTCTGTTGCTCCAGGGGCTGATGAAAATGCAAAGGGCAGTCAGGTTTTGTCCTTACCAAAGAAAAAAAAAGTATAAATTTAAAAAATGTTTTCTGAACATTCTGAACAACCTAATATTGGGATTAAACCCCTTTGTATTAACACGATTTTCTAATTCCTTGAAATATTTCATGATTTTAAGCTCTGCTTCAAAAGACTGTCTTTTATAGGGGTTTATATCCTGGGGTTTTTTTTTGTGTTCCTCCTGTATTGATGATAATAGAGGCTGCAGGCAGAGACAGGTAGGTTTGAACCTTTTATTTCTCTTGAGGAGAAAGTATGCTCAGCTTTGCAAAGCTTAATGATGACTCTGCTGTTGTGTTACAAACCTTGCTGTGTGCACCTCTAAATCTTTCTTGGCACAGATGTCCTCTTGGAGGCATCCGATGAGAAGTGGGGTTTTTTTGGCTGCCTGCAAAGCAATAAAAGTCCATCACCATTTCAAATGTGGACATATTTTGGACTCTTATCTGTTTTCACAGAATGAGGTGCTTATTTGCCATTAAATTTAAATCAAATGGGATCAGGTCCTTATTGGTGTCAGGCTTCAATGCCTAAGAATCACATAAAAATACAGCAAATGTTGATTTGAAGTACGCTTTATTTAATAGACCTTCATTTCAACATTTGGTTGTAAAAGAAAGAAAAAAGACAGCAAAAGACTGACCACCTATTGCTATGCAATACAATGTCATGGCCCTATGCCTAAGCTTGCCCACCTACGCTGTCTTTGCTCTTCTGTCTTGTATCTACTCCGAGACTTAGACCGACTCCCAGCACAGTGGGGTCATGATGTGACGGCACGGCTGACGTTTCAGGTTAACTGTCCTGTGTTTTGCCCTGCTGGGAAATTCATGCACAGGAGAAACAGGCTCTTATGATGGCAGAATAACATGCAGGGCTCTTAGAGCTGTGGTAGTTGTCCTCACAATGGTGCTGGTGGCATTATAAATACCTTGCTCAGGCACATTTTGTCTGGAATGAAACCATGTGGCTGGGTTGCATTGAAAGCTCTTCGGAGCAAGGACTGTTTGTTTGGCTAGTGAAAGGTAATAAGCTGTGCTACAAACCACAATGAAGAATGAGACAATGAAATCAATGGTGGAGAAGACCTGTGAACTGGGATATAGAGAACTTTGTGACAACGTGTGACACATCGGCTTTATGTCACTCTTAGCACAAATGTTACAGTAGAAAAGAACTCTCTAAAAGAGTTGACGTAGTAAAAATGATATGAAGGTATTCCACTATTATTATTATTATTATTTATTTCTTGTTATGCTTGTAATAATTCAGGTGCTTTCCAAACAGAAAAGCTACAGGCCTTGCCCCGAGGAGCTCACAATCTAAAGGTGGACAAGGAGAGAGACATGAAGGAGAGGGAGTCCACAGAGAAGTCAAGAGGCCAAGATGGAAATCAACCATATCTTAGCAATCAAATCTGGTTTGAACGCGTTGTTGCAAAGCTATACAAACTATTTTCCAATTACTGCTCATATTTTCCATTTTGGTTCAACTAATTCACTCCTAGGTGCTATGGCACAGACAGATGTGCAGGAAGGAAGCTTGCAATATGTGAGCTCAGAGAGAGTAGCACATGTGTAAAGTAGAGCTGGAAAACTCACCTAAAAGTATAGAGATGAGAGGGGTTTGTCTGGATTTTCAAAATTCAGTTCACTACCAGGATAGTTTAGATCCAGAATGGTATGGCTTTAGGTCAGGTCCTACAAGGTGGGAGTTACATGTGATGGTTCCCATCTGGAATGTAAGTGTACTCTATGCATCTGGAGGTTCCTTAATACAAGCTAATACAAACTACAAAATCTATCATGGCAGGGCTAGGGAAGTTAAGAATGAAATGACCACACTGATGTGGTATATTCACATGTTTCCAAGGGAGGAGAAGCATGGTGCTGAGAGTTCGAGGGTGGTCATTCTTAGGTCAGTTGTAAAATTACATTTTTAATAATGTAGGACACCAGTCACCGATTAAAAAGAAACAGACTGTTTAATTTTAAAAATACTGGTTTTGACTATGACAATAAGTCACTCATCAGTTATGAAAAATACTATTAGATTTTCTTTATACATTTAAATGTCTAAGTATTTTTTATAAAACCTCCAAACAGGTTCCCCCAAACTCTGAAATTGTCAAAGAAACTCTCTTAAGGCTTGCCTTTAAAACCTTCTCAACAAATTGCCATATTTTTCCAAGTACTCAGGGGATCATTTTATGTTTGTTTATTCCTGAAGTATCTTTCTCTTAGGAAACAGGAGTGTATTGTGAAGGCAAAAGCTAATAAGCAGTTGAATATTAAAGTGCATAGGTTGTCCATGTCTGGAAAAATGAATGGTTGAAGAAGCAGTAGCTGTTGTGATTACAGATTTCTGGGGAGTAATCCGTCATCAGCTTTTTTGCAAGCCACAGATATTTCTTTTACTGTAAAAAACATTTTTTTACAGTCTCCAAATCCTGCAAATGCTTTTCTAACAATGGCATCAGGACAGTGATAATCCTCGCTGGGAGGGAGAAGCTGTAATTAAATAATCAAATAGACTGATCTTTCATAATTTACAGGTATTCATATTCCTTCAATAAATAAAAGAATATACTTTATCTTGTGATCCTGTATAGCTTTTGAAACAAATCAAGTTTCTAGCAATTTAAATAAATTATTCTAATAGCTTGACATGAATTATGCTGACAAGAGCCATTTATGATTATTATGGTGCCCAGAATCTTTTAAGAAACTACAAAGTTAAATAAAGGCTTACAAGTCTCTTAAGCTACTTTTTATTTGCATAGAAAAATATTTATCATAGGAGTCAACTATCATATGAGAGAAATTGCATTTGTTGTAATTGAAAAAGATAGCTAAAAAGTTTCTGTGGGTTATTGCAACAGTACAAGAATACAAGATGCTTCCATTTATTAAAAAATGTAAAACAAATCGTGAAAGCTAAAGCAGGCTACAAAACAGAAGGTCCCTGTATTATCTTTCTCTTGACTACTATGTTACAAGATCATGTGCCACAGTTGAGTACTATAAAGTGTAATTCTGCATTTGCTAATGTAATTCTTAAAACATTCCCCCCCAAAAGCACTATGCAAAATATATATATTTGTGAACGCTTCCTCCTGTAAGCATCACAATCTTGTTATCACATAATCACCCTGATCAATTGTTTCCTGTTTCCCATCGCAGTCAATGCAAATGTCCAACTCCTTGTCCAGCTGATCCTGCGGTGTGGCGGATTCTGAGTTCTCTAACTCCATTTTCTCTGTTTCTGAAGCACAAATACTTCCCTCTTCTTGTGAATCCGAAGAGTCACTGTTATTTTGTGACTCAGCTAACACACACTTTTCATCAGGACTTTGGATGTTTAATTCACAGTTCATGGTCAGTTCTCCCTCTTCCAGTTCAGCAGTTTTCTCACATTGTTCTTCTGCCTGTTGACGGGACACTTCTTCAGAAACAGTGTATATTTTATTTGTACTCTGCTCCACAGAATTTGTTTTTGATCGTCTATGAAATAACCCAAAATTTTTTATGTCTGTTACAAAATTCACACGCTTTTGTTTCTCCTTAGTGGACTCTGACACCATCATTGCTGAGCCGTTGCTCACATTATGTGCTTCAGAGGCAATAGTGGCTGATCTTGGGTGAATCATCGTTGTTATGTCAAAAAGGCTGAAGGTCTTTTTCTTTCCTTTCTTGTTTCCTTCACTCTCACTATTTTCTTCATTTTCTGACAGAGAGGCAGCATCTTTGTTCATCTTTTCGGTCTGCAAATTCGACAGCTTGCTTCCTTTTAACAAACCCAGGACTTCAAAACGAAAGCTGGAAATATCTTGTTTTAACTCCTAAAAATTAGGAAGATGAAACATCAGAACGTGAAAGCTAATTTGACTTTTCCTCTTGTAATTAAAAAAAAAGAAAAAAAAAGGCTGTTGCTAGGGATCAGTAATAAACTTCACCATCTGGATAATACCTGGCATCTTAAAGGTGCTTTGCAGACTGTCTAATGGATCTTCCAGGTGAGACAGAAAAGTGATTAGCAATTTTATCAGAGGAAACGTCAGAGTAAATGTACCTTAGCCTAGACTATTCATAGAAATCACTAACAGTGGTGGAGGAAGGAGCATGGACAACTTGAAGACCTACAGCCAATCTGCTAGACAGTATTATCCCATCATGACAACAGCATTTTGATCAGCTCTTAACATCATCCCTGACAAACACACATGGGGACACATGCATGCACAAGGCATACACATGTGTGCACGCTTCCCTGTGAGTAGCAGCGCAGGTAGGACTTCGTGCATTTCCACTAAATGTTTGTCTGCTAGCAGCTAAGTCAGAGATAATCATTGGAGGCTGCTCTCAGCCAGTGCAACCTCTGTCTCTTAAAGGCCTGTCTAGGAGAAGGCACCTGGCCTTCAGGAGGTCCCTATTTCTCCTCATTTTCTCTAAAGGCATAATCATAGAATCATTTGGGTTGGAAAAGACCTTTAAGATCATTGAGTCCAACTGTAAACCCAACATTGCCAAGTCCACCACTAAACCATGTCGCTAAACATCACACCTACACGTCTTTTAAAACCTCCAGGGATGGTGACTCAACCACTGCCCGGAGCAGCCTGTCCCAATGCTTGATAACCCTTTCGGTGAAGAAGTTTTTCGTAATATCCAATCTAAACATCTCCTGGCACAACTCGAGGCTGTCTCCTCTCATCCTATCACTTGTTACTTGGGAGAGGAGACTGACCCCCACCTCACTACACCCTCCTTTCAGGTGGTTGTAGAGAGCGATAAGGTCTCCCCTCAGCCTCCTTTTCTCCAGACTAAACAGCCCCAGTTCCCTCAGCCGCCCCTCATAAGATTCGTGCTCCAGGCCCCTCACCAGCTTCGTTGCCTAGCTTCATATTCAGCCGGCTGTTGGCCAACACCCCCAGGTTCTTTTCTGTTGGACAGCTTTCCAGCCGCTCTTCCCCAAGCCTGTAGCACTGCACGGGGTTGTTGTGACCCAAGTGCAGGACCCGTCACTTGGCCTTGTTGAACCTCATACAGTTGGCCTTGGCCCATCTCAAAGGGATGGAAAAGGTGATGATGATTGACTGGGATGTAGCTGAAGGTATAGGAACTGAGCATGACGTCAATGGTAGAGAATAAGGGGTGGATACCGTCCTGGTTTCAGCTGGGATAGAGTTAATTGTCTTCCTAGTAGCTGGTACAGTGCTGTGTTTTGAGTTCAGTATGAGAAGAATGTTGATAACACTGATGTTTGCAGTTGTTGCTAAGTAGTGTTTAGTCTAAAGTCAAGGATTTTTCAGCTTCTCATGCCCAGCCAGTGAGAAAGCTGGAGGGGCACAAGAAGTTGGCACGGGACAGAGCCAGGGCAGCTGACCCAAACTAGCCAAAGGGGTATTCCATACCATGTGATGTCATGTCCAGTATATAAACTGGTGGGAGTGGGGGCGGGGGGATCGCTGCTTCAGGACTAACTGGGCATCAATCTGTGGATGGTGAGCAATAGCACTGTGCATCATTTGTATATTCCAATCGTTTTATTATTACTGTTGTCATTTTATTAGTGTTATCAGTATCACTATTAGTTTCTTCTATTCTGTTGTATTAAACCGTTCTTATCTCAACCCACGAGTTTTGCTTCTTTTCCCGATTTTCTCCCCCATCCCACTGGGGGCGGAGGGGAGAGGAGTGAGTGAGCAGCTGCGTGGTGCTTAGTTGCTGGCTGGGGTTAAACCACAACACCATCTATCCAGCCTGTCCAGATCCCTCTGTAGAGCCTTCCTACCTTCAAGCAGATCAACACTCCCACCCAACTCAGTGTTGTCTGCAATCTTGCTGAGGGTGCACTCAATCCCCTCGTCCAGATCATGGATAAAGATATTAAACAGAACTGGCCCCAATACCGAGCCCTGGGGAACACCACTTGTGACTGGCTGCCAACTGGATTTATCTCCATTCACCACAACTCTTTGGGCCCGGCCATCCAGCTGGTTTTTTACCCAGTGAAGAGTACACACATCCGAGCCATGAGCAGCCAGTTTCTCCAGGAGAATGCTGTAGGAAACGGTGTCAAAAGGCTTTACTAAAGTCCTGGTAAACATCCACAGCCTTTCCCTCATCCACTAAGTGGGTCACCTTATCACGGAAGCAGATCAGGTTGGTCAGGCAGGACCTGCCTTTCATGAACCCACATTGACTGGGCCTGATCACCTGGTTGTCCTGTATGTGCCACATGATGGCACTCAAGATGATCTGAATGAAGCAATAATGAAGCAATTAGCTCAGGCTCCGGCTGTATCTTTGTAAGCTGAGGCAGATGAATGTCATTTTGAATGTTTGGAGTTTGAGGTGCCAACAGTAACAAAAATGTTTGATGCTAGAAATATACAGTGATGGATGTGAGTGTTGTGATATAGATGGCCCTGTTCACTTTATCTGTGTCAAAGAATTTTAATGTTTGACTGCTTATTTAAGTTTTCCATCTTTTAAATCATATAAAAGGTGTTCCGTTACAAGTAAGTGCACAACAGCACTCTATAGCAGAAAAATTCTATTTCCTAAGGTGCTGAAACTGTTTGCATCTTGCTTTAGTAAATATGTTGTTACATGCACTTAGTCCCACTTTGGTGTCCCCTTACATGGGCACAATTCAAACCAGCTGATAAAACTGATTATTGCTCCAGCTAAAGAAAGAAGGAGACTTGCTGGAGTCCATGTACAGTACTATCTGTGTGTGTTTCATCAGGACACAGACATTACTCTAGGAAGCAAGTTATATGCTACCTGAACAACTGAGGATTGTGAGAAATATGCTTCACAGTCTTATAATATCTTAATAAAACACCTATAAACATATAAATAAATGCATACCTTAAAATTTTCTTCTGTCAGTCCTTCCTCAGTTTTGGCATCTCTGATCATTGCTGCAACGTATCTCTTAACCAGATTTCTCATAACTTCCTAAAAATATGAAATACTCTGTTAGCTTCCTTGGTATTAGTTACTAAACCTACACTCACTGGGCCTGTCTGGATTTCTTTGTGCTTAGGAACACGACAAAAAATGTACAAACCTTAGATCTGTTTTAAAATTTGTTCTGCTCTTCAATGGAAAGTGCTGATACTAATTATCCTGAGAAGGGCTGCATTGGATTTGATCAAAGGTATGTCTCATGCCAGTAACATGCAGTCTGACAGTGAGCAGTTGCTGATGCCTCATGAGTAGTGCAAGTCTAGTTCGGTTGTATAATGTTATTTCCAGCTATACTCTCCCAAGCCTCCTGCGATGTGAGATTCAGAGACTTTCTGAATCAGAAATGATAGCTCTAGGTTTAATGGGCTGTGACAGGTTTTCCTATGTGTTTTGAACTCATGTAAACTTTCAGCATCCACAAATCCTCTGCCAATGAATTCCACAGTATAGCTGGAATAAGACTCCATTTGGGATTTTTTTTATTTTTAACCTGCTCTCTGATAGTTTCCATTGTTGCCTTCTACTTCTAAGAATCCTAAATTTATTTAGGTTGCAAGAGATGCCTGGAAGCTGTCTGATCCAGCTCAGGGCCACGTCCAGTCAAGTGCTGAATATCTCCAAGGGTGAAGATGCTGCAGGCTCCCTGAGCAATTTTTTTTCCAATTCTTTACTGCCCTCATTGTGATGATTTTCCTTACAGAATTTCCCTTCCTGCAACTTGTGTCCATCGACTCCTGTTATTTGCTGTGCACTTCCAAGAAAAATCTGGCTCCTTTTTCTCTCTAACCACCCACTATGTTACTGAAGACAGCAATTAGATTCGCCTTAACCTACTCCAGGCTGAAATCCGAGCTTCTCCTTTTATGTCAGCCCTCTAACCATCTTGGTGGCCCTTTGTTGGATTCCTTCCAGTTTGTTAACATCTCTCTTGTAGTGGGGGGCCCAAAACAGGACACACTGCTCCAGATACAGTCTTGAAAGTGTGGGCTGGAGGAGAATAATCACTTCCCTCAAAGTGCTGCCTACAGCCTTACTAATGCGGTGTAGTACGTGTCTGGTATTCAGTTTGTGGCTAGATGGTAAACAGCTGCTCTGTGTTCACCTTCCCCATGATTTTATAGATCCCTGTCGTACTTCCCACAGCTGTCTCCCTTTCAGGTTGGAAAAGCCCTAGTTTACCTAGTCATTTCCCATATGGAAGCAATTAATTACCAAACCTGCAAGTGTACAGCCCACATCTCGTTTAACTTGCAGCCCTTTTAACACAACAAAAATTGAAAATAAATCTGAAAATTATTCCTTGTGCTACAATAATCTCAAAAAATCAGAGGCTGAAGCAGGAAGGATGGAAAAGAAGAACAGCTTACAGGGGATCTAGACAGAGGGGTTATTAAGGGACAGAAACTTGTCTTTGGGGGACCAGAGCCAGACAGATGGAGAGCAGGTTCTGATGGAACATGACAGTGAGCTGTATATATGATCCTGATGAATCTCAGCAGGGAGGTGGGACTATTTGTTTGCTTTTTTAAAGGCAATCCATGTTACAGTGGGCAAAATACTGGTTAGGATATTATTGCTCTAGGAAATATCATTTTGCACCCCAAAAGTAGACAACCCTACTTCTCAAATGCTGTTGTTTGAACACCAAAAATACTATGCTTATTTGCTGAGGATGAAATAAGTATGCATTTTGTGGGGTTTTTGGGGGGTTGTTTGGGGTTTTTTTCTGCTTTCTCATTAAATACTTATTTTTTTTCCACTCATGAAGACTTTTTGGAGGCATAGAAAAATAATTGCCCTCAAAATAAACATGGGCCTGTACCTGGTATTGATGATGTCTTCTCAGATTGTCAGCTGCACGCCTCTGAAAAAAAGGAAAGGAAAAGAAAAGAACAGAACAAAAAACCATTAATCCCTCTTTGGTAGTAAAATACTTACAGCATAGAAAAACAGCAGGTCTGTGCAAGGTGTGGTATCTAGCAAGCTGAGAGACATGGTTCAAAATCTGTTGAAAAATGGCAGTGTTGGAGCAAAGCCTGTCATTAGCTTTACAGAAGGAAGAATGGTGTTACTGGGAAGGCAAAATGGATTTTCTACCTTTTCATCAATATGCTGCTATTACAGCATTGGGATGGATGTGGTGGGGCAGCCAGGTCTCTCCTTGCAGAGCCCCGAAGTCACTGATCTGAGATAGAAGGGGAACAATGTGATCATGTCACTCGCTTGCAGAGACTGAAGTGAATTTTACTGAATTGAGAAAAGCTTGATATAAGCATGGTGGTAGCAAGACACTCGATACGGCTCCTAATGTGTCTTTTAAGATAGAGCTAACCCAAACCTGCATTATAAAACCATATTAAAGGAAAATTTCCTGCTTAGTTCCCTGTTAAAAACACTTGGTGTGGTGGTTTAAGCCCAGCCGGTAACAAAGCACCACGCAGGCGCTCAGCTGTCCCAGGGACTCACGGCCATCTGTGGGGGTCTCCGCTCCCCCGCTGTAAAAGGAACTAGGCCTTAAGCCTTATTGTTTCTAAGACTATTCATATTAGACATATAACTAATGATTAGAAATTGGTTTAGATATGATTAATAGAATGCAGGTGCTTATAAAACAATATGCATAAGCTGCTTATTTGTCCTATGTGTCTCCCCCTCCGTGGCTGGCTTGAAACCCAGTCGAGCTGAATCAACAGAAGGAGGATCATACATCTTAGATCTAAGACATGGGAGTAAGTGATTAACTTTAGAACAAGAAAAACTAATAGAATAGCCTGAGTGATTTTCAGAAATTCAAAGGTGATCTTTGATGTGCAAGAAGATAAGTGATTGTGGTGACCAAAGACCTTCTGCCTACGACCACTTACTTCAGAAGAACCAGGACACGAGAATTGATGAGATAAGATGATGAATGGTAATGACATGGGAACAGAGATTGACTGGAAAATTACAAAGACTTTGGACTGGGACAATGGGTGGTAAAAAGGTATATAAGATTGGGAAATTCTTGGAAGGTTGCCATTCACTGCGGTGGTGGCCCAACTCCGAGTTGTTAATAAAGCAAACCTAGAGAAATCCACGTTTGAAAATTCTTTAACACCCGCTCTCCTGCATGGGCTGGGGGGCAGCCTGCCGCCTCACCGTGGGCTGCGGGGGCATCAACCTCCTCCTCCTCCTCCTCCTTCCCTGACCTCGGTATCCGCAGAGGGGTTCCTCTCACATTCCAATCCCCCACTCACTACCGGTTCCCCTTCTGAAATCTGCTCTCCCAGAGGCGCTACCGCCGTCACTGACGGGCTCAGCCTGGGCCAGCGGTGGGTCCGGCTCCGAGCCGGGGGAGCTTCGAGCAGCTTCTCACAAGAGCCGTCCCTGCCGTCCCTCCCCGCTACCAAAAAACCCTTGCACCACACAAACCCATAACACTTGGTCACAGAGAGGGGTATGGGAGATAGAAACTGAGCTTGCAATGCAGAGTTTGGCGTTGATAATGAGGGAGTGTAAGAGGGGTAGTAACTCTGAAGAGGAACAGCAAAAAGAAGTGTGGTAGGATGAAAGCATGGTACAGGCTTCAAGCAAGCGTTGCATTAGATTATACTGCTGTATCTAAGGGCTGTCCACAAGAAGATGGGGGAAAAAAAGGCCTGAATTACTTAGTCCTTGAATTCGTGTTGTCCTCAATAGCATACTGAGTCACATCTCCATATTCTCTACCTTTAATTATCCCTGACTAGTGAAAGACTTACAATTTTAACTTTGGTTTTTGTACCTGCTGCTGGCAAGAAAAGAAGGTGTCTGAGCACTGATTGTATTTCTACAAAACAGAACACTTAACAGCATCTTAGAAGACGATAAAAGGACATCCAAGGGACTTGTTAAAATTGACCTCAGTTGCATAATGAGGCAGGCACAGTAAGGTATTTTGTCATCTCCTTTTATCTGAAACTAATTGGCAATTTATGATTAACAATTTCCCTGTACTTGGAATCAGTTTACACTTTAGGGTTGATTTCTTGTTTGTAATTCATTTGAGGGTGGCAGTACCTGTGTGGTTGGGCTTGGCAAAAAAAAAAATAGAAAGGTGAATAGCATTATTTCCTAATCACTCTGAACAGCCACTGTGGTGTAGGGTTTTATACATAACCATCTTGTCTTCAGTGTTTTTCCCGATGTTGTTGCTGTATCTATGCCTCATCCAGAGAGAAGACAGCGATTCCTTGCGTTTAAGGGTGGAGGGATGGGCAAGCCTGCCCACCGCCGGGGCCGGAGGGGGCAAGGCAGCCGTGGGACGGCTGAGACCCTCGCACCACCCGTCTTTAGCTGGTTTTTAGAAAAAAAAAATCTGATTTTTCGCAGTTGACCACACGATGGAGATGTTCCATTGCTGCTGAGAAAGCACTAAGGGAGTCCGTGGCTAAGAAAGCTCTCAACAATAGATCTGACTCACAGGTAAAGGGAAAAACACTTTAAGGTGTAACTGAAACGCACTTCAGTTCAGGTAAAGCTAATAACTCCTATAAATAAAACAAATGCTGATTCTTTTCTCGCAGAATACTTTCTGCAGTTGCTGTCTGCTCTGCTTTATTTTACAGTGAAATGTGAAATAAATGCATAGCTTTAATTCTGTACCCATAAGAAAAGCTTCATATAAATAGTTTCCCTAGCATGTCTGCCGTAAACTATACTGACTCTGAACCCTTTCTTTATGAGTTCTGCCTGCATATAATGAACTTTCAAGTGTGCATGTATATGTATATATATATATATATATACACATGTATATATGTATACAGTGGTGTTTTGGTGACACATTTAATACATCCTTGATTCATTCCTAGCTCATGAATCCTGGCTTTTTGGTACTAAGGTTTCTTATGCAGGTATCATGCCTGATCCTTGAAAAATGCTGGCTTTAACAAGCCAGCTCCGTTATGTCTATCATCTGTTTTGTATCCTCTAGCACTGACTCAGCCTTTGGATGCACACTACTGATTCTTCTACTGGGAAACACCATAGTACGTCACTGCTAATTAGGGCTTCCTAATAGGAAAGTTAGCATTTAGAGGTTGCAGAACAAAATGTTTTGAAATCTGAGTTCTGCCTCACAGAGAACATGGCATCCATATAGCCAATGTAAGAAAATGAGCCTGAAACTGAGTCTATACTAGGGTTATTTTCCCAGTACTGGTCATAGGGAAGGAATCAGAGTTCATAATGCAGGACTCAATGAAAAGAAGTATCTTGTAGCTCTGAGGCCAAAGTTATTACAGAGGAGATTCCAGTGAGCTGGAGTCAGAGAACCATCATCTGAGATCCCCAAACAAAAGCCAGAGAAAACTCTTCATTTCCCTTTGGTTGAAAGGGTAGAGGTTCTAAATTTAATTTGTGATGCAGTTTGTTGGGACAACTGAAAAAGTTCTGGGAACCCAAGGCTGAGCTGTGGGTGATGGGAATAAGTTTTTCAAAACCAGAAAGCAGCGAATTGCCCCAGGACAAACTATGAGATCACCTAGGTATGCCCATTCATTCTCCAATGACTTAACCTCTTGGGGAAAATCCAGTTAACAGCATCTGGTTTGCATCTACCCAAACTGTGTGTAGACCTGACCACTGGAGTGAATAGTGGCTCTCACACTCTGACGGGTACGGACAGATTTTCTTAATGTGGAAATCAGAGCGCATAGTGCATACCCACATCTTAGCCCTTTTTGGAGCTTGGGTGCATAACTGGGCCTAGAAATTGCAAAACGTTCCAAATTCAGATAGCCCTAATGGGTCTTCTGTTAGAGCTGAGGAGCTAGCTGAAGAACTTTGTAGTTTTATGAGATGTCCAGATGTGTCGACTGACATGACTCCCTGGTCAGACACAGCCATTCACTTTTTCCAGGCAGCTGGAAGTCTTGTTGCCATGAGCCCCCTGCTTCAGAGGGGTTTCAGCTATACTTGCAGCTAAGTACTTATTCTGTAGCGTAAACTAGCGATGGATATGGTCCTATTGTCTCACAGACTTTGGGATTTCCATTTTCATCATTATTTTTTTTTTAATTTACTCAACAGAAATTAACCAAAAATGCCCTACATTTCTCCCTCACCTATATCCTCTGCTCCCAAACAGTTCAGTAATTAGTGGTTCACATTCAAATCATAAGGTAGCTGGGTTCAGCTCCTTCTTTTCTGTTCTCCCAAGAGAGTACATTTCCCCTCCAAGTTCTTAATGATTTTGAGATGGAAATCTCTCCTGTCAGAGCTGTTCTGCTTGGGGTAAATAATTAAATATCCACTGGAGAATAGAAATGAACCTGGGTCTCCCTTAGCCCAAGCTATTTGCTTTACTTGGCACCTGCTCCTTCTCTCTCCAAACAGAAAGTTCATCCTGAAGCTGAAAAGTTTTTCTCAACAAAAGCTTCTTTGAAACTGGTATATATTAATGAAGAAGTTTGGGGTTTAAGGATTTTGTATTTTTTTCACTAAAAAAAAGAAAATTCTGTCTGGAAAAATTCCCAACCATCTCTGTGTATAGGCTCCCTGCCCTTTGACCCTTTGCTGCACCAGTTTTCCAAAGCTCAAGCTGCTAATTTCTAGAAGGTGGTATTTATGTACCCCAGCAGGAGGTAGGTGCAGGAACCAGAGGGTGACCTTTCTGAGCCCCCTTCCTCACCACGCCATTCAGCAGGGGGCTGAGAGCACCCTGTTTCTTACTTTATTGTTCCACAGAGCCAGGAATGAGTTTACTCCCAGAGCTGCCATTTGAGAGGGAAAAAATATCCCTTATCATGGATGGGAAGTCTGACAGAAAATACTGTCCTGAAGGTTTTGCTGGGATGTATAAGGGTATTCTGGATCTCTCTCAGTCCAACAGGCATATTGTGTTAACCAACCCCAGATCCTCAGCTGCTATACGCTGGCATCACTCCACTAATTTTAATATCACTCAATCAGTTTATGCTAGCTAATCATCCCTACCAAATGTTTAACAAATGCCTAGAAGCATTGCCCACTCTCCCACACACGCAAGTGCACCACTTCCTTGATATTCTCTTTCTAACAAAAATCTCACAGTTTTTCCTCCTGTTGGTCTCTGCATTTACTTCTTTCCCTTGCCAGGTTACACAGTGATGTTTTATTCCTGAAATTCTTCACCATTCATGCTAGTTCATGTCTTTTATTTTTATTTCTAGCTGAATCACTGTCTCTCTTTACTGCTTTTCTAATACTAATTTTAATGCTTTTTTTTTCCAGTGTTTCTTTCTTGTAGTCTATTACGGGTTTGTTTCAATGTCATCCTCCTTTCTTTCCTATCCACAAGTATGACAGCTAAGCATTGCTTTCACAATGTCAACTGGTTAAGCCTGATTAGAAGCTTTCCACAAAGAGGACAAAATCAATTCATCAGCTTAGGAATTGTGAATTAGTTTTATATGTCACTCTTCCTCTTTATCATACTCCTGTACACCCCTGTGAACTTGTTCCTCCAAGTATATCTGGTGATTAAACTGAATGCCGGGATATGACAGTGAGAATACGTAGGAAAAGCCTATCCTTATTACTCACTTCTCAAGACACTGGGAAGAAATACAAAGAAAAGGTCAATGGAGTAATGGTCCAGCAAAGAACTGTATCGTAACCCCTGGCTTCTTTGAAATGAATGGAAGTTTTGCTACCAGGGTCAACAGCATGAGGACTGTAACCCTTTCTTCTTCCCCTTACCCACACATGATACGCTCGTACTCTCACTTAATGCTTTGCTATTGGAGTACCTAACAGACTTGAAAACATTTATATTCGCCAAATCCCTATCCTATAGGGACAGTGCCATTATCCACATTTTACCCACAATAGTTTTCTTTACGTTGGAATTGGCTAAAAGCAGTCTAGTTACTGAGGTTCTGGTTTGCTCGCTATGGGAAATGCAGAAAACATAACTAGAAATATTTAGTTGTTGGTGGGTTAGGTTGTTGCCTGGATATTTCCTCTGACAATATAGAAAAACTGTGCTGCTGACTGCAGTATCTCAACTGGATAAAGCTAGGAGGGACAAATTCAAAACTGCTTTACCTGCTGCAGCTACCAGAGAAAGTCTGTGGCTGAGATATTACACAGGCATCTGCTGAATCCAGATGCAGGACTACTCTTGCTCCCCTTGTGTGTCTTTTCCTCTCTTTTTTTTAGCAATTTCACTGCTAATCAGCACTATTAGAATAGGGTACCAATGTGATTCTGAAATAACTCTACCTGTAAATTCAAGTAAGCAATTCCAAGTAAATGCTGTTACCTTTCAAAATGTTTTCAAAATGGAACAGCTTTTGGTAAGACTGCTTTTATGGTAAACCCATTCGATTACATGGAGAGAGAGAGAGACAGAGAGACAGAGAATATCGCATGATGAATACTTCATATACAAGTCTGTGATTCATGATATGTCAATGATACTTGAACTGTGACACTTGAGCTAGAGATCATCAGCCACATGTCTGGGATTGGCAGACAAGTATACACATTTGATCTCTCATATTTGTATTGCTTTTAATCTTTCTTGCCTTATCTGTAGATGAGGAACAGTCATGGTTCATATTGTCATTGCACAGGAATACGATGATGCTTTCTCTTCAGTCAAATACACTGACGTGAAAGTAAAAAATAAACGTTCTCTGTTAGAATTATTCTCTACTCATATGCACATTATTTGGCAGTTTGGATGCTCTGTAAGGCTGAGAAAGACTCATCTATATAGCAAAGAGGAGGACTACAGCCAGAGTAAAACACAGAACTTACCCCTATTGTTCCAAAACTTTCAGGCTTTCTCCTAATTTTTTTCTTGCAAAGGTGTCTCCATAACCATTTGACCAGATACCACAGAGACTTTGGGCTTGGTATGACATTAAAAGGAGTAGGCAGAGTTCCTCCTTCTTCAAAGTAACTCATCCAGAGTTTTGTTCGAGCAAACTTCCACTCAATGTCTGCATGATCCTGCACACAAGAAACACAACACCAGCACAGATGCTGCTGTAATTAAGGAGGTGAAACAAACTCTACAAAAATCTAAAAACCTAAAACTAGAACAACCCTGAAATACTAATGAATTTTCTTGTTAAAATGCTGGCACATTCTTTAGACAGAAGGTCTTTAACACAAAGCAAAGCTAAGCTGGTTTACTTCAGTAAAGAGATGTTAGTTATGTACAGTATATATCCACCTTCAACCTTTCTTTCCTTGCTACAGGCTTTTAAATGATTAGAAGTCTCAAACAACAAAGGATAATTACAAGCAGAAAAATGCTACATTTCTGGAAGAGATGTTTTATTACAACAGCAGCTCATCATTATTCCACATAGATCACCCTAATTACTCTGCTGTGTAGCAGCTTCAACAAGTCTGTAAGTCTCATGCACTCTCTTAGCAATTGCCAGCCCCAGAAATTCACAAATAGGTTATCCAACAAATCACGAGGCTACAAAAAACTGTTGAGTTGAGTATCTTTTTTTCCTCCTACTTCAGAATTATATACTGGAACAGGTTGTGGGGTTTTTATTTTTTTTAATTTTTATTAGAAATTTTATTTCTTTTGGATTCTATATAATATTGTTTAATTTTGAAAATTTTGAAAAAAATCAAAACTAAAGTCTATGGAAAGATTGCTAAATCCTAGAAGCTGAACAAGAAGTTTAAATTGCTAATATTAGATTTGGACAACAAACATAGTAGCCAAGAACTTAAACTACAGGTCTAGACCTAGTCTTTAATATTTTGCCAGATACACAGTAATCAAAACAGTAACTTAGAAGTTGTAGTAGGAAAAGTATTCTACCTGCAGTCTGAGTTTTGAAGAATGCTATTGTGTTGTGATATTGTGTACCAGACTTTGCCAACTAGCATTATATAAACACATGTAGTCAGTATTTCTCTTGTGGAAAAACTTGTAATTTCCAGATTAGAAAAAAGGCACATTTTAAAACCTTAAGACTGTGAAGGTTTCTTTTATTTGTTTGCTTTCTGCATGATCATATTTTAATTATCATATGATGAATCAGTGTTTATTTTCATTAGTCTCCTTAATAGACAGCTGAGAAATAAAAATAAGCCAGTAACTCTAATAAGGATAAAGACAGTTTTCATTGAAGGAGAAGACAGGACACTGCTGAATGAGAATTCATGACCTTTTGTTTGAATTGCTAATGGGTCCAAAACTGTCCATGAAACATGGACATCCAATTTCTTTTAACTGTACATTCACGCTATACAAAAAATCCAAAAGCAACAGCCTTTTAAAGGTTAATAAATATAATGTATTAGAAATAAAGCAGAGACAGAACAAACTTTGGCGGAGTCTCTTTCTCAGGAGAGGTGCTGCACAGCGCAGCTTGGGCTGGGCTGGAGCCCCCGTCACTTGCCAGCAGCTTCAGGACACCCTTCCCAGCCCACGAGCTGGCTTCTGCAGCAGGGCCACCCATTCCCCATTGAGAGCTGTGGGGGAATTCCCTTCTGCCCAGTCCAGCTGGGGTCTGGTTTCTGTGTCCTTCCAGAACAGTGCAAAAGAATCAGAGAATTTGTCCCACTATCCTGTCTGTAAGAAAGATTTACTGCCAGAAAAATGGGATGTAGGAACAGAGAGAAGGTATATATTATAAATGATCTAAGAATAAGAAACAACTTACAGCAATAAGTTGGTAAGAATTATTCATCATGGCTATTAGCATGTTGAGTAGAACAACCAGAGAGATTACATTATAGGTACCAAACATGGTGGCCCCAACAAATTCAGTAAATTCATGCCTTGCTTTCACATTGGTCACATAGAGATTGATGAGTCCAAATATAGACCAGAATAATGACTGCAGTGTTTCAAATAATCTGAAAAACAAAACCAGAAAGGAATAGCTGTATGATAACAATATATGCACTTTTCAGATGGTTCAGTTTTTCCCCAAACACACAGAAGTCCTTGACTTGATTGAGATGAACAATACTTATCACAATATAAGCAACATATATGCAGTATCTTTCTAGGGAAACAATGGCTTAATGTTTCAAATCTGAGCCTCTAGATATACAACACTGAATCTATAAATAAGTCTGCGAGTAAAAGGCTGATTTTGTTCTAACTTCTGAGGGATAAATATAGTTTTAGAGAACTTATTTTGGACACCTTCTTTTTTAAATATTTTGACCCATTGCCTTGACTGCAGAGGGTAGAAGAAGGAGCCAAAAGTAGCTCAATTATTGTTTCGCCAAGATGTTAAAACAATTATGGTATCTTCATACCTACTTGGTGTTGTCAGTTTATGCAATTTCTCATTTGTGTTGAGAGCCACTGAGATAAAAGGAGTGTATAATTAGAAAGACATTATCATCATTAGCATATGTTTTGTTTTGCAAAGAATGAAGACATTAAAAAGACAAACATGCCACTCTCAAATGAAACTTGTGCTTTTATAACTAAATTATAAGATATTCCCTTAGAAAAGTTTGGGACAACAGCTAGGAAGCTAAATAACAATAACCAACTTTAAAAAAGTCCTCTGCGACTAGATAGCTTGACATAATTTCCCTTTTGTACCATGTTCAGCTACCGTACAGTGCCATAAGCATGGGCCCAAAAGTTTGGAGCAAAATTTTCTGCTTGTCTGGTCCCATATCTTGAGGTGCATTGGAGTGAGTCTTCCCATCGCCTCCCTCCTGCTCCTTGGCCCTGACACCAGAAGCCCGTTACCCAGATGGGACGCGCGGGCCACCAGCGCTCTCCCCTCTGCACCCAGAGCAGGGAGGCTGCCGAACTGCTGGGACTTCCACCACCCCGGGGCGGTTCTGCACGCTGGGACCCGCTGTCCAGAACTGGGCAAAACTTCACCCTTCAGCCCCTTTCCCACCGTGAAGCGTAACTGTCGTGCAACCCAGTCCAGTGCTGTCCTGCAGAGACACCCGAGAGGGCAGTACGCTTTTACTTAGAGAAACTCCAGGTCCTGAATCCCTGCTCCTGCAATAAAGTACCGCTCGGGAGTCTCTTGTATGGTGTGTACTGGTCTGAGCACAAACTGAACAACCACTATTCTCCCCCGCTCACAGTTGCAGAAAAGGCTCATAAGGCATTGCAGTTTGCCTTGACACTATCTTCTGGCACTAGTACCAGTGGTCCCAACTATTTCCCAGATGAATAATGTTGCTTCTCTCAATGTTCAGCTCTGAAAAATTTCCCTGTGCTTTTCTGTTTAGATCATACAAAGTTTAGACCTGCATAAGAGGTTATTAATATGCAAGATAAATACGCTGTGCCTGAGCAAAGTTACTTGATTAAGATGATATAAAAGGTGCTGTTATTATAGTTATTTACGTGGAGAAGGAAGCCATTGGTAATAAATATCTTTTCAAAACAGCCTAGATATGATTCCTAGAAGGTAAAAGGGAACAGGTATTTATAGCAGGAGTTTGATTCAGACTGGTAGAGAAGCAGTATTAATTTGGTAGTGGTTTGGTGCTATAGATGAACTACAGAACAGAGTGAAGTAAAATTGATTTTTAAGTGAAAGAAAAATAAATAAACTTTGAAACAGAAATTGGAATACAGTATTTGATTGTGTGGAGTAGACTCAGGGTCAGTAGAAGCCTGGACCGAATGTTTTTTCCTGCCTCAGTTTATCACATTTACAATGAATCTTCATGTTTCAGAACACCAAACTTATTTAATGCCCACAAGCAGTCATGGAAGAAATGCAGAATGACAGCTGCCTGGATAAGCAAGCTCTGATCTGGTGACCCTTCTTCCCTTAATTCTAAATATGTACTTTCTAATCTCATATAATCTCCCCCTCCTCTTTACTTTATCTTTTTATCTTTTGAGATATCTCCAATTGTACAGACTTCATTGTGGTATGGGATGAATATTATTACAGAGTCATGCAATGTTAATGTTTATTTTTTTATTAGGGTAACTTTAGATGTAACTGTCAGGACACCGCTGCAATGCCAACAGAAGACAGACAGCCTCTTCCCTGTAAACAACGTCTAAGTGATTAAAATATTGGGGGCAGAAGGGGACAATAGAAATAGATCAGCCACTCACGTTGAAAATGCGTTATTCTGCTTTTCACATCGTATTCCTTTGCAGTTGCCAAGTTCGTCTGTCTCATAGTAGAAGTACAGCTGGTTCAATCCATTTGCGAAAGCTAGCAGCACAAGGCAATATATGAAGAGAAACTTCAAAATGTCGAGCAACATTCTTCCTAGAGATATCTGCAGAGGTCCCAGGTGAGAATTTGCAGTGAATAATGAGATCAAGCGTAGGGAGCTAAAGATGTTTGCGATTGCAAACAGGGCCTCAGCCACCAGGGTTGGATGCCACATGTCCCAGCTCTCCCGTGGAACTAACCCACTATACTGGAAACAAGCAGAAGGGAAGAAATTATTCCTCTATTTTTATGCATAAACAAGTATGTCAGTTTCTTTATAAGCTGTTCAATTAATTTGCAGATAGCACAATAAAACTAAACATTTTTTTGGAAAGCAACACGTCTTCAGGAGAATTTTTTATTTTAGCAAAACAGAAAATGGGCAGTACCCATAAACTTGTCTTTCATTTTTATCTGCAGGATGGTCTACGCTTTCAAGTTTTTTGCCTGTGTTTTGCATTTGGTTATAATTTTCACAGCAGCAAAAGCAAGTCTAACAATTCTGACTGAGAGTAAAAGGAACAGTTTTTGAACACCTGGGCTTTTAGAATTATAGAAACTTTCAGCTGTAAAATAAGGTAAATTATTTCTTTGGAGAACAGTGCAGATATTACAATGATGTACAAAAACCCGCAAGAACTTTGGGAAGTTGGAAGAAAACATTTAATCAAGGTGTAAGTATATCACTTAATCACTAACACTGGACCAATGATGAAAAGCTGTTTATTAATGAACCATGGAAAACTGCTTGTGTGTCTCATTATCAAAGAGTCTGATCCCTGGAATTGTGACTCTTTACTGTTCCAGCTCTACCAAAAAATTTCTTGAAGATGAAAGATGTTACTTTGAACTGAGGCTTAACTACTGTGGCAGACTCATTATTATTTATATGGTTTCATTAATCTGTTTCACAGAACATATCAGAGGACAGAATCTATGCTATGAAGCACTCTAAACTGATGGGATAATATAATATGAAGAATATTTCAAAAGGGGACTATGGTACGGTCTGTATTTACCTACTCTAGGCCACCCAGATGCATCCTTCAGAGCTGCTGAGCATGCCCTTAGTAGTAAGGAAAGGACCTCTTCTGTGTCACTAGGGCCAAATGAAACAATATAAGCAGGCATCACATTTCCACACCACACTCACCCTCCAAAGAAAGTGACTGCTCTCACAGTGGTTCAAGACCACCTGAGGAACATGAACATACGTAAGTCTATGGGACCTGATGGGATGCATCCCAGAGTCCTGAGGGAATTGGCTGATGTAGTTGCCAAGACACTCTCCACAATATTCAAAAAGTCATGGCAGGCAGGTGAAGTCCCCAGTGACTGGAAAAAGGGAAACATTGCACCCATTTTTAAAAAGGGTAGAAAGGAGGACCCTGGGAACTACCGACCTGTCAGCCTCACCTCTGTGCCTGGGAAGATCATGGAACGGATCCTCCTAGAAGCTGTGCTAAGGCACATGGAGGACAGGGAGCTGATTCCAGACAGCCAGCATGGCTTCATCAAGGGCAGATCTTGCCTGACCAACCTTGTGGCCTTCTGTGATGGAGAGACGACATCAGTGGACAAAGGAAGAGCTACAGTTGTCATCTATCTGGATTTCTGTAAGGCCTTTGACACGGTCCCCCACAACATCCTTCTCTCTAAATTGGAGAGAGATGGATTTGATGGATGGACTATTCGGTGGATGAGGAATTGGTTGGATGGTCGCATCCAGAGGGCAGTGGTCAATGGCTCAATGTCCAGCTGGAGATCAGTGGCAAGTGGTGTCCCTCAGGGGTCCATACTGGGACCAGTGCTGTTTAATATCTTCATCAATGACACAGACAGTGGGATAGAGTGCACCCTCAGCAAGTCTGCAGCCGACACCAAGCTGAGAGGTGCGGTTGACATGCCTGAAGAACATGATGCCAATCAGAGGGACCTGGACAAGCTCGAGAAGTGGGCCTGTGTGAACCTCATGAGGTTCAACAAGGCCACATGCAAGGTCCTCCATATGGGTTGGGGCAACCCCCAGTATCAATACAGGCTGGGGGATGAAGGAATTGAGAGCAGCCCTGCCGAGAAGGACTTGGTGATACTGGTGGATGAAAAGCTGGACATCGGCTGACAACATGCACTCGCAGCCCAGAAAGCCAACCGTATCCTGGGCTGCATCAAAAGAAGTGTGGCCAGCAGGTCAAGGGAGGGGATTCTGCCCCTCTACTCCACTCTGGTGAGACCCACCTGCAGTTCTGCATCCAGCCCTCAGTACAGGAAAGACATGGATCTGTTGGAGCAGGTCCAGAGGAGGGACACAAAAATGGTCAGAGGGATGGAACACCTCTGCTGTGAGGAAAGGCTGAAAGAGTGGGGTTGTTCAGCCTGGAGAAGAGAAGGCTCCAAGGAGACTTTATAACAGCCTTCCAGTACTTAAAGGGGGCTTACAAGATGGGGGCAGACATTTTAGTAGGGCCTGTAGCAATAGGACAAAGGGTAATGGTTTTAAACTAAAAGAGGTTAGATTCAGACTAGATATAAGACAGAAATTTTTTACACCGAGGGTGGTGAAACACTGGAACAGGTTGCCCAGAGAGGTGGTAGATGCCGCATCCCTGGAAAAATTCAAGGTCAGGTTGAATAGGGCTCTGAGCAACCTGATCTAGTTGAAGATGTCCCTGCTCATTGCAGGGGGTGGGGGGACTAGATGACCTTTATACGTCCCTTTCAACCCAAGCCATTCTGTGATTCTGTGACTCAAACTTGTTTTGGACAGTGCTAGTTTGGGCATTGTTTCAGGCAGCGCTAGTTGGCACAGGACCCCACCACACTGGGGTTGCTCTAACCAACTGGTAGTGCAGGTGAGACAGTCCCAGTGCCTGACAGCAATCCCTGGCATTGTTTTTTTTATTCATATACAAGCAGCCATAGCATCTGACAGAGTTGTGGATTTGGGTATGAGAACTGCAAAACTGGAGAACAGTAGTCCATTGAAGAGTTAAGAATCACTCAGCCTTACATTTCAACCACCAGTTATATTTGTTCTCTACAGAGTAGGGAATTAAATCCAGACCTGCTGGAGTCACAGGTCAGTACTCTCTTCATTAGACTATCCTCTCCCTAATGATCATGCTGTAAAATCAAGTCTTACTGCATTTGACACTGTAGCTCCAAGAGGGATGCTATGATGCTTCATCCACTATTGCCCTTCAGTCCAATTCTGATTGATTCAAGATTGGTGATGAAGTAACAGGCAGTAGAAAACAGAACTGAGTTACCAGAGATATCAGCTAAGAGATAAAAGCAAGAAGAAAATTAAGAAGAAAAAAAATTCAGTGTTTATTGAGAAAAGAGAGGTGAGAACTCCTCAGCATGTTTTCTATAATGTCTTTCTTTGAATCATATTATACAGTATATTACTGTGAATTCTGATGGCACTTTACAACCCTGGTATGTGAAAACTTGCACCTATTAAATAGGAACAACTGTCAGTACAAGCAAAGACTAGGTGCGGAACAGTGCAGTAGATGCTCAGATTAGGGAAAAGTACACAAGGTGTGCTGGTGAATAAAGGAAAATATATTAATGAAAAAAAATTAAAGAAGATATTTGAAACTAAAAAGAGATGGAATTTTTGGTAGAGAATCAAAAGCGTCCAACTGCAGACATATTTTAGGTGAAGGCAAGTAATGGGAGATTCCAAGGAAGTTAAACAAGTGGAGTGGGGTGGGGAATCTAAGGAAATACTCTTCTGAGAAAAACATGGAACTACAGGACACTGAATAAGAATAGCATACGATATAGTATGAGAGCAAGGATCAAGTTAAACCAATCAGGTGTGGACAGCCACATCTGTGCTCTCCGTCACCTCCTTTTATAGTCAGCAAAGAAAATGGGTATTTCTAGAGTAGTAGGAAAGCAGATATCCCAAACAGGTCAAATGAGCTGCTCTAACTTTCTCTGTTTCTCCTCACTGATTATTGGGGTAGGGGAGAGGCTATCTTATAGTTGCAGTCTGACACGATGTATCCAATATCACCTTTTCTAGAAGAGATGAGGTTAAGGAGAAAGGTGAGGAGAAAGGACTTTATCTATGATGTTCTGTATTGAGACACAAAACTGGTGTGTTAAAACAGTCAGAAAAATATTAAGTGACCTCTCATTTGTAAAAGGGCAATCAAAGGCACAACTGCGTTACTTCATCTTAACTGGCGCTGCCTTTCTTGGGCCCAAGTGCCTCCTGCATCTGTGGATGCAGCGCAAAAGGTCTCACGGTTGTAAGCAGAGAGTGAGGGCTGTTACTTAGTTTTAAAGAGACATGATTTCAAAGACTGGAAATACTTGACTGAAAAATAGTGAGAAAGGTGAAGGTCTGAGAAGTAAGTCTGGAAATGGTCTGTGAAATATACTAGCTGAAAGAAGACAGCAAATAATATAAAGAAAATAATGAGTATAAGAGGGCTCTGACAACAAAACCCTATTGATTACAACTGAAAAGAAATCTAGAAATATCAAGGAAGAACCAGGACAACAGAGAAGCTCACATGTGAAAACGAAAAGAAAGCAAAGGAGTGAAAAGACTAGGCATGTTAAAACCAGAAACAGTGAAAATATGAAAAAAATGAAAAACTGTATTTTAGGACCAAGCAACCCAACACACACAGAAATGAACTATTTGTTCTCTCACTCATACTTGTTGATGTTCTTCTGTTCTATATAGAATAAATAAATGTTTATTGTTCTAGGGAATGGAAAATGGTAAGAGCAAATATAGCAACACTGAGCTTGTTGCAAATCATGCTGTTGATACTTTTATAATTTTGTGACCCTGCTGAATTTCTGTCTCCACTTCGAATGCAAACACAAACTTTTGACATGTAGCAAAGCCAACCATCATTCAACGTGATTAATACCCATCACTGGTTTGTTGGTTGAAGGAAATGTACATGGCACATCAATGGAAAATTAAGAATAGTGGAAAACAAATTGAGCAGCATATACACAGTAGAGTTTCAAGGCAAATATATGACGATTGTATGATGTCATGCAGGGAATGCAAGCTAATAATTCTTGATCCTTACTCAAAGGAATTAAAAAGCAAATCTAATAACAGAACTATTTGTGAGAAAAAAGCTGAGTGTTCACTGTTTTCCCATGAAAACAAAAGTCGTGAACCGTAGATTTCATGAAAGCACCAAGAGAGATCAAACAGACATGTAGATCAGGCTACCTGAATGTTTAATGGGCTGTTGGACCTTGGTCCCCTTGTTTCTGATAACAAAAAGAAAAGTGAAATAATATCCATTTCAGGAAAAGTACTTTAAATCCTTTCCTGAAACGTCATATGCAAATGTGAACTCTTCCTATTTTAAAATTAAAAAATCCCAGTCTTGGCATTCATTATGACAAATTTCAGAGCAGCAGTAGGATAGAGGGCAGGGTGATGGCCTAGCAAACAGCTGTAGAACAGTAATTACACTGAGGAATCGAGTCTATAATTTTTCAGGGATCGAGGGGGGTCAATACTCATATGTAAATGGACATTTGGTCTGTGAATCTGGTAAAACATCAATCAAAACCATTTTACAATGCAAACATATAAGAAGAAGATGTTAGCTTCTGCAGAACTGGTGGCAGAAGAGAAGTATAACCTTATTTACTAATAAACAGAGTAGATCTGACATAGTGATCATTAAGCCAGTAAATATTGAGACAAATAATGTATTTTTAGTTACTTTTCAGAGTTCTGTTTCCCTGCTAGCTTTTCATGTCAGTGGCTGAGACACATAATCAGTAATATGAACTTGCATGCGATTCCTAGCAGAATTGGAAACAAGCAGCACTAGGTCCAATGCTCGGGTTTAACAAATATTTAAGATAAAGCAAGCGGGATCTGCACATAAGTTGGCACTGCACCTAACTTTACGCATCAGTACAAAATAGATTATCTTCAAAAAACATAGAAAGAACCATTTTTCCTGGAGCACAACGATTTCTATTTAGGTTTATAACCCTCCATCAAAACAGCTGTGTTGATTAAAATCTGTCATCTTGTACTCTCTTAAAACACGTGACAATACACTATTTATAAGGACATTATTTGTCAGGGAGAGAGCGTTTTCAGTGGCTATACTGGATAGTTTAAAGAGACCTCACATGCTGATATACAGTCAGAGGCAAAAACATAGCCCTTTGAAAAAAGAGATGTACTCATTTTATTTGAATACTGGCAATGAAACAAATAACTTTTGAGTTATCTTAGCAGTTCCCTCATCCTGAAATTATACTCTTTCATGTATTTTACACTATCCCATCAGTTGCTGTAAATAGTATCATCTGCTTAACTACTGTGTCAGTCAGAGAGCCTTGAATGGGCCATAAACACTATGTTTTTCTCTGGGAACTTTTATGACACAGGAGAGTAGTATGAGGGCACTCATAATTTCATTCAAGGGAGTTGGTTACAATGTTTTCTTAGGTGGCTTGAGCTGATTCATAGAAGGTAGAATACATCTAAGAACAGGGCTTATATATTTGATTCAATAAATACAGAAAAGCTGCATTTTAGAAAAACTTGTCTTGCAAGGTTTAGGAAATGAAAATAAAAGCTTTAATCAAAACGTACTGGTTACATATGGCATCCTCTCAATCTCATGTGGCATAGATGTGAGGAACTCTGTTGTAGGGATTTGAAGGAAATGTGGCTGGGTATTAAATTACACTTGTATTACTCTGTTCATTACACCATCGTGTGTTTCAACTGACTACCACAACTGAGGGTCTTTCAAGGAACAAAAAGGTATTTGGGTGCAACATTGCACATGCAGTAAAAAAATAATAGCTGCAGAACCAAAGATAGTGCTTTATGCACTGTGTTGATTAGGATTGGCATGCAAGCACTAATTTGGAGAGTAATGGATGCACATTATCCCAGATACTGTCACCCTGGAATCTGATTATCGTAAGCAGAAGCTGTCTGGGAGATGAAACGATTATAATGTCTGCTAATTAATATCATTCTAAGTGAATAACTGGCCATCTCCAATGCTTTGAAATGTGCATTTTCAATGAACTGCTTGCTTTGTTACATGGGACAGTGAAATGACTATTTCTTTTCCATTCACTTTACGATAAGGCATCCTTGTGTGTAAAAATGCATTTCGTCAGCTTTAAATGACAGCTCTCCTCACACTTCCGAGCACCTTGCTCTTTCAGGCAACAGCTCCAAATTTCTTTGAGTGAGAAGACTTCCCAAGGTTTGCAGCCAGAAACCTTTTGTCACAGGAGGAGGCCGGTGTGTCAACAGATCACAGGTCTTTGCTCATCCCTGCCCCTGCTGGGCTGACATTTGGACCCTTGTGAATAGACACGAGATGACACAAATTAGCGGTTCCTATGTTCCCCTACACTTACGGCAGGGCTGCAGCGGGAACAGCTGCGGTTTGAGGAGAGGGTGCTGCAACCAGCTACTTGACGGCTGTCTCCTTTTCCCAGCCAAAAGGATCTTGGCAGAGGAGAGACTCTCCTATGCATACAGGGTAGCTGGTGGTAGGGAACTTGAAACAGCTGAAATAAATACAATGCTGATCACAGCGGCCAGTAGAAATGGGCTTGTTATCTTTACCTGGATGTGATAAGAGCTCCATGACAGATGCTAGGAAATGCTTTCATTTCCTTTCAGATGTGGTTTCCTTGTGCTTGAGACCACCTTTTGATTAAAATACTTCGTTTTACGAGGAATTTCTATCATATTACGGATCATGTTGAATACATAGAAAATGCAACATGTTCCATGGCTTTGGAAAGAAGGGCTGTTTTGCTGGAAGATACTTCAAATAGTGGGTATATAAAACTATTCATAAAAAGTCCATGAAAAGGATGAGAAAAAGAACATAACCAGCTTTAAGTGACCATTTTATCTCCTTCAGCTTTACTTTAAAAACAAAATTAAAATCTTACTCTTTAACTCCCTCCCCCCCTCCCCAGCCCCCTAATTTTGAGTAAATATTTTTCTTGTAGTCCTACCCGCAAGTTTTGCATGGTGCGTAAAATTGTCTTAGGGGAAATAATTTATTACTGAAAAACAGGCAAAGACTAACACAAAACATTATTAAATATTACCAGCGATTTTCCTTTCCCAAGAAAATGACAGTATGACTGTTCGGGCTCAAATAACAAAAGATTGCCAGGTCCAACAAGAAAAAAGTATATATCACAATGTTTCGTTTGCTCTTATCTCGGTCTAGCTTCTTGTCATAGCTGCAGAAGATTCAATGAGCACATCAAACATCTCTTGCATTGCTAAGACTGAGAACCCCCAGATACAGAAGAAAGTTTGAAGAAGCCTAATTTCATTTATCTTAAATATTTTGCTTATTTTTTAAAAAAGAGTTTACCTTTGAAAATGCAACAATTTTCAAAGAGATTGTTGCCAAGTACAAGGAGTTCATTACAAAATCCATGAGGTTCCACCAGTCATGAATGTAGTCCTGTAGTCCACCATCCCACATCTGTTTAATTTCACCCCAGATAAAACCTGTAAATAGAACATAATTCATTAAGCATGAATATTAAATAAAAAAGGCTGTGACTATTCTAGACACTTATCTCACAATGGATTGATTCTCCTTACATTACTTATAAAGGGAAAGTGGATCAGTGCTCTAAATTACACATCGTTTGGTGAAATTTTATCTTCCCATTAATGTTTCTGGAATTAATTTGATAGGCAAAACTAAAAAAAATCATCTGCTTGTACAAGGGCAATTTCTTTGGCTTTCTTCAATCTCTTTTCCCATCGTATCCCAATAGGTATAAAGAGGGTCTTAAAATCAGTCACCACTGTCAACTCTGTCCTTGGTATTTGCTGCAATATAATTCAAACTGGAAAATATATGACTGCGAGAGTCAATCCAACACATTAATTTATTTGAGTTGGAACCCACACAATAAGGAAGAGAATTTCTATTATTATTGTCAATGCTGAACTAAAGTCTCCCTTTTCCATAGGGAAGAGTAGTGTCTGCAGCAGAATATTTTTTGTTGATTCCTTCCTTTGAGACATGAAGCAATAGAAACTGTTTTCAGGTGTGCAGAGCATGCATTGCACTGGACACAAAGTGATACAGAAATATTCAACCCCAGTGGGAAATTTTGCAAGTTGTCTGACATAAACTTGGTTTAACAGCTCCAGAGACAACTGTGTAGAGACTCTTTAATGCTGTAAACATTAAAACCTCTCTGAAGAAGATACTCCACATTATTGTATAATATGGTATAATAAAACAACATGGAACGTTTAGATGCATGTTTCATATTATTATCTACAGACTTTATTTAATAATACTACCAGAAGAGCTTTTAATTTTTCAAAATTAATTATTTTCTTAAAGGAATTTCTTACTTTTTTGTTCATTAAAGGGACAAAATTCACCACAAAAGAGACCAGTCTGACATATAGAAATTGAGATACAGTTAATTCAACATGGCTTTTCTCCACCTGCTTATCACATGTCCCTTTAGAAAATGTTGAACAGATTTCGTGCAGGGGCCTATAGAGTCCTGCATCACTCTAGTCTGGCATTAATTCACCTTGAACTTTAACATTTGTCTCAATGGTCTTCTAGGTGACTGCATGGAAAACTTGTGTCTTCTCTCAAACATGACCCCTAAGGAGTAATTCCTGGTCTATTCTTGTTTGTACCAGACAGGGTTTTAAGTGATTTGGAAGACAGGAGGGGAATAGATGGGAGGAGTACAATTTAATTTTGTAGTATTTTGGCTTGAGTCTTTCTGTTTCCTGATTGTTTTCAAAAGGAAAGGTTCCCTTCCTCACTACCTTCCCCTCAAATCTCAGCCACATGTTCCCATCTTGTTTCTGTGTGTCATCATCAGTAATAGCGAGTCTCAGAAGTATCCAAATCATCTGATTTGTCCAGCAACTTCTATTATCATGGAGTTCATTTTCACCCAAGCCACCATCACTACTTCAGCATTCTGCAGAGCTGGGGGAACACATTCTGAGAAAGGACCATGCTGGGAACATGTAGACAGGAAAGTGGGATATGCCCATTTTAGTGTCTACAACAGCCTAGACAGGCTCATTGCAACTCTTGTCTTTAGGTTATCAGATAAGACTAATACACAAAATGTAGCACTGTTAAGAAGCTGCTAACATTTATTTTCAAGCTGCAATCAATTCCGATGAGTCACAGTGAGAAAACAGCTGAACATTTTTGCATGGCAGGGGTGACTATCCACTCACAGCATCCACTGCTGCTGTTAACTGCCCAAGTGCCATCGCAAAGGGAACACCCCTTCACAGGGCTACTTGGCAGGCTCCTAAATGCCTGCTTATTTCAGTCTGTGAAATGACTTAACCACTTACTCTTCAAAGAGCTGGTCACTCCTGACACACAGTATGAACAGGACAACAGCAGGTCTGGCTCTCCCTTCCCTCCACAGTCCCCTCCAACCTTCAACACGCAGCCGATGTACTTGCCAATATCCCTGCTTGCTCTTCCACTACCTTTTAGGCATGACGTGTTAAGCATCATCAGGTCATAAAAGCAGCTGTTTTGTGGGCTGCAATATACCCCTCACATTTCAGACACTGCTCTGAATCATCCCTGCTCTACCTGCAGAACAGCACATAAAAATCACCACTGTGCTGCAGGAGCCTGAGGAGACCTGGCTCCAGGCTCGGAGGAGACCTGGAGCCAAAGGCTGTGTAATATGGATACAGCCTCAGTGTTAAAGAACAGTTCCTTGCTCTTTTTTATTTAATAATACAGATGTAAACCGAGGATCTTGACACTGGGCTATAGCACAGAAAGCAGTCAGCTGCATTGATGAAGATCCCCAAATAAAAAGGCTTTACAGAAATCAATACACACATTCATAGAATTAAATAAACTCTTGTAATTCATCACAGTTAAGCATTCCCTTTAAAATACGCTTTAAAAACAGAGCAGAAATAGGTTGGGATGATTAATAAGATGAATGCTTAAGTGAGAGGCTGTAGGTTCATTAAAGTCTTCTGCCAAGATATTCCATGATTCACAACCAGCCAAAGACATGAACTGACACAAACACAACACAGCTGTTCTCTGTAAGACCGTTCTTCAGCATCATATGCTTTGATAGCACTGTCTAAAATACAGCAGAATTATGTACAGATTGAAAAAGGAATGCTGACTAATGCTGCTGCATTTGGCTTGTTCTGTGAGTGAAAAGCCAAGACTCTTTTTCCAAGCACTTCTTGGGCTTCAGAAAATGAAATGTAATTGTAAAGTTGACACCGACAGAGAAATACTGACCTATTATTGCATAGCAGAAGAGAGTATATGGCTATTGTAAATTCGATTATTTTGAATTAGAAACACAACTAATCCAAACTACCAGCAATGCTGAAGTCACTTGGCAGCTGAAAGTTCTGAGTATACTTTGACATCGTAATGGTGGTGGTTCTAAATTTTTTCTTGGTTCAAGACAACTTTTATGTTCATCCTGATGCAGGGCTTGTTCTTTTCAAGCAAATGATAATGAAAAACTGGAAATCCTACATTTTTGTTGGCTGTAATGGAGGTGGGATAGTTTAGTCTTTCTTGCCAGCCAAAGCATCTAAATGCAAAATCCATATATAAATACAGTTACTGAGATCTTATGGGACTCCAGAGAACTTGAAACTAGGCTGACTGATGGATGCTATGTTTGTGACAGACACACAATCCATGCATGCACAGTAGAGCTTCCCAGACATGTCTTTTTAAAGGCAAATCTTTGAAGGTACAAGATCCTAAGATTGACTGCCAAAATCCACAACTCCAGGGCAATCTCACCATGAAAGCTGAGATCACAGTCTTTGCAGGTACCAGGTTTCTATGGCTAGGTATCCTGAGGGGTTCTCAATTGGAGCAATGAATGCTGGAAGAACTGGGATCTCTGAAGTTCTGTAAATCCTCCCAAGTGTGCCTGAAGGGTTATCCTAGAAAAGCGTACTCTGAAATCCCGGAGCCTTTCTGCAAAGCTGAAGACTTCTCTAAGGCTTGGTGAGCTTACATGATGGAGCTATTCTGAGCAACAAACCTCAGGGATTTAAAGTCGTGCTGTTTAGGGTTAATTTACAGTCACATAGCCAGAGGTCTTGAAATCTTGTTGTAGATCATATCTTTTTGCAAGAAGGAAGGGTTGGGGGGGGGGAGGCAGATGTCAGTCAGCTCTTATCTTCACAGGGTCTGATACAATATGCCAGTTTTGTTCTCTTACATTCATTGGGAGAATCAGGAAAAGGCTAGGAAAATCTATGTTTGTTTTTTTCTAAAAAGAAAAAGACATCCAAAGATCAGGGCGGCATTATCTCTGTGACCTTGCACACTTCCTTTTTCTATTTAGAAGACTTACGGATAGCTGGACACAACCTGACTTTATTATCTAAGGACACTTTTGGGCAATTCCAAAATACAATCTGACATGATAGAAGAGAAGACACGCAGTGACAAGACTGTCTAATGGGTGCATTGTTACAGGTGGGAAAGAGATCTAGAGTCCAGGCATTGCCTGCTGATTAACGTGCTAAAGCGTCAATGTTACCCCATGGTGACAGAGCTCATGTCAGCACTACATGTTCAGCAGCAAGAAAGATGACATCTCAACAAAGCAGATGGGACATCACACAGGTATTGGGGAAAAAACTGCTAAGAGAAACCATCTGGCAGATACAAGGGGTAGATCTAACAGCAAGAGCCTTTAGACAGTCAGGGCAGGGACAAGTTCATTGCCCAAAGCCTTTTTACCTCCCTCGGAGGAAACAAGTATCTCCAAGGCAATAATCCTGTCATCTGCAGGTGGGTCAATCTTCCCATTGACTGAAAAGAGAGTCATGGAGGATCAGGCTGGATTAAAACAGATGTCTAACTTCCAGGTGCCTGTATTTAGCTGAAATAAGTCCACACAGAGCAGATTTGACTGTTTTAGCTGGATAATCTTTGCTATATTCTGGTTGTCTCTTTGCTGTGTCCTTCCTATCTCTTCACACCAAGTAGATTTCATACTTCCCTCTTATACCCTCACCTATACATTCGCCATCAACCTGCTTTTATCATTTATTGCCACTTACAAGGAAATTATCAACATTATGCAGCTCTTCCACCTCATTAATCAAGGACTTAAATTGAAAAGTTGAAGGTGAGACTTTTAAGCATTTGTTGCATTGTTTATAACTAGATACCGAAGCAGTAAAATAGAAATAACAGCATGGATATTTTGAAACAGGCTGAGATGATAGAAACAAATTTCATTAAATGCCCCGTGGTTTTAATGGGATGAAATAGACATAAATTGAGGACAGGAATCCCACAGACCACATGAGGCCCTGGGAATGACAGAAGCCATGGAGAGGTTTTGTATAGCACTGTGAAGTATTATACATGCAAGCTGATGAATGCAACCATTTGACTGAAGTCCAGTTTGTGTGATGCAAGAAAGGAACTAAAATAGATCAGCTAAAATAAATTTGGAGGAAAAAAATGGAATTTG